GTAGCTCTATTTTTAACTTCTTGAGGAATCTCCATACTGTTTTCTTGAGTGGCTTTACCAGCTTGCATTCCCACCAACAGTATAGGAGGGTTCCCCTTTCTCTGCTTCCTTGCCAACATCTGTTGTTTCCTGTCTTGTTAATTTTAGCCATTCTGACTGGTATGAGGTGGTTTCTCATTGTGGTTTTGTATTTCCCTGATGCCTAGTGATGTTGAGCACTTTTTCATGTGTCTGTTGGCCATTTGTATGTCTTCTTTGGAGAAGTGTCTGTTCATGTCTTCTGCTCATTTCTTGACTGGATTATTTGTTTTTTGGGTGTTGAGTTTGATAAGTTCTTTATAAATCTTGGATACTAGCCCTTTATCTGATATGTCATTTGCAAATATCTTCCCCCATTCTGTAGGTTACCTTTTAGTTTTGTTGACTGTTTCCTTGGCTGTTCAGAAGCTTTTTATCTTGATGAAGTCCCAATAGTTCATTTTTGCTTTTGTTTCCCTTGCCTTTGGAGATGTGTCTAGCAAGAAATTGCTGTGGCTGAGGTCAAAGAGGTTGCTGCCTGTGTTTTCCTTTAGGATTTTAATGAATTCCTGTCTCACATTTAGGTCTTTCATCCATTTTGAGTTTATCTTTGTGTACTGTATAAGAAAATGGTCTTCTACATGTGGCTCCAATTTTCCCAGCACCATTTATTGAAGAGACTATCCTTTTTTCATTGGATATTCTTTCCTGCTTTGTCGAAGATTAGTTGACCATAGAGTTGAAGGTCCATTTCTGGGGTCTCTATTCTGTTCCATTGATCTATGTGTCTGTTTTTGTGCCAGTACCATACTGTCTTGTTGATGACAGCTTTGTAATAGGGCCTGAAGTCTGAAATGTGATGCCACCAGCTTTGGTTTTCTTTTTCAACATTCCTCTGGTATTTGGGGTCTTTTCTGGTTCCATACAAATTTTAGGATGGTTTGTTCCAGCTCTGAAAAATGTTGATGGTATTTTGATAGGATTGCACTGAACGTATAGATTGCTGTAGGTAGCATAGACATTTTAACAATGTTTATTCTTCCAATCCATGAGCATGGAATGTTTTTCCATTTCTTTGTGTCTTCCTCAATTTCTTTCATAAGTGTTCTGTAGTTTTTGGAGTACAGATCTTTTACCTCTTTGGTTAGGTTTATTCCTAGGTATCTTATGGTTTTTGGTGCGTTGTAAATGGGATCAATTCCTTAATTTCTCTTTCATCTGTCTTATTGTTAATGTATAGAAATGCAACAGCATGGCTAGTTTAATAGTGATGAGCTCCTTTAGCTTTTGCTTGTCTGGAAAACTCTTTCTCCATCCTTCACATCTAAATGATATCCTTGCCATGTAGAGTATTCGTGGCTGGAAGCTTTTTCCTTTCAGTACTTTGAATAAGTCATGCTACACCCTTCTGGTTTGCAAGTTTTTGCTGAGAAATCTGCTAGTAGACTTATGGGGTTTTTCTCATATATAACAATTTGTTTTTGTCTTGCTGCTTTTAAGTTTCTCTCTTTAACTTTTGACATTTTAATTATAATGTGTCTTAGTGTGGATTTCTCTGAGTTAATCTTATTAGAATTCTCTGGGCTTCTTGGATCTGGATATCTGTCTCTATACCTAGGTTGGAGAGATTTTCAACCATTATTTCTTCAAATAAATTTTCTGCCCTTTCTTTCTCCATGTTCTGGGCCCTTATAAGGTAAATGTTTTCTTAGAGGTCCCTTAAGTTACCTATATTTTGCAAAATTTCCCTTTTCTTTTTGCTGCTCTGTCTGGATGACTTACATTGCTTTATCTTTCAGCTCACTGATTCATTCTTCTACCTCATCCTGTCTGCTGTTGAACCCCTCCAGTTTGTTTTTCAATTCAGTTATTGTATTCTTAAGCTCTGTTTGGTACTTACGTGACTTCTGTTTGGTATTTAGGTTTCTTATCTTTTTGTTGAAGTTCTCATTGCATTTAGCCATTCTTCTGTTGAGTTTGGTGAGCATTTTCTTGACCATTTCTTTGATTCTTCATTAGGTAGATTACTTATCCTTATTAGGGTCTTTTTCTGAGGTTTGGTCTTGCTCTTTTGATTGGAACATATTTCTGTGTTCTCCTTTTTCTTGACTCTCTATGTTCCTGTATATTAGGTGAAACAGCTGCCTCTCTCATTGTTGAAGGAATGGCCTTGTTTAGGTGATGATCCTTCTTGTTCAACCTTTCCCTAGCTCTTTTTTATTTCTCAGACCATTGTGGTTGTCTAAACTACTTGATTTGTTCTTTTTTTTTTGATAGTCCAAGTTATTTATAGAAGAATTTCAAATGGAATTAAATGCAAAATATACACAGTTCATTTACTCTTGTTATGCCCCCATTGTTGAGGGTGCACCAAGCCTGTCAGTGACTCAACAGAAGGAATTTCATTAGCACTAATTTCAGGCTGATTGGAAGCCAGACTCTCAGGCAACACCTTTTAAAGTATGTAAATATCTATAGATGAGTGGAGCTGCAATTATAATCTCTGTGGCCTCCAGCGCAAGAGGTCCAGAGGTGTACTGTAGGTGACAGTTGCAAGAATCAGGGCTTTAGATGAGTGTATAAGCTCCTTTCTGGGAAATCTTTTTGAGCTGTATCAATGCCAAGGAGGTACAGAAGGATGATATCTTTCCTGCTTATATTTCCTGAGAGTGCCTCCTTAGCCTCTAGATGTAAGAGAAACCTGAAGCCTATCCCTCAGGCTAGAGTACCAGGTTGAATAAATAGACTTTTTTCTGTGAAAAAAGAACCCCCAGGGCTGGGGTTGTGTTTCAGTCTATTGTCTTTGCAGTGCCCTAGGGGTGGTAGTTTGCCAAGAACTGTATTTCTGATTGTTACATTTTTGTAGAGCTCTGGAATGCTATCCCTCTTGTCCACAAAGACTAGGTGATCAAGGAGAATCCCTTGTTTTGATTGTTTGTGCCTGCTGGTTTTAGCCAGGTGGAGTGTAAGGGGCGGGGCATGCCTGGTTTCAGAAAGGCAATGGGAAAATGTCTTGACTCCATGTATCTGTGGGCCTCAGCAGTGCCAGCAGGAGAGTGCCTTGTCTCTGTGCATGCCGCCTTTAGGCTGGAAGCAGGAAAATGCTGGACTGCTTGTGCTTGCCAGCCTCAGTCAGGGTCAGGGGAGTGTCGCAACCACCCATGCTCACAGACTTTAGCTAGGTACCAGGAGAACTCCATTCATGATTTCCTGCCCCAGCAAAGGAACAGGGAAGCACTACAATCACTTGTGCCCTCTGGCCTCAGTAAGTGCCATGGGAGTGTGCCGTATCCAAGCTTGCTCACCTATGCTAGCAGTTTTGTGGAGAGTACAACAATGGCATCGGCCAGTGCCTCCATCATTGGGAAGCTTCTCAACTGGCCTCTGCCCTTCCTGCTGATGACCCCAGATTAGCAAATGAATCTCCCTCACATACAGTTTAGGCACTTTTCAAACTGTTGATTTTTCACTGGGTCTTGGGGTGAGCAAGATCATACATGAGCCTTCTAAGAGGGGAATCTCAGTTTCCTATAGCACTTAGCAACCCCTGCCTAATGTCAGCTGTGGTTGTTTTTCCAAGCCAGACATTCTGGGGGCTTATCTCATCCTTGTGCAAATCCCAGGGGTCAGGGTGCCTGCTGTAGGGCACCAGCCCTTTGCTCTTCAGGGACAAATGCCTGTCTGCTGAGATCCATCCTTATTGTGTATCACTGCACCAGGGGTGGGGTTTTGTAAGACCATGTCTCTGCCTCTTTTCCCCATTGCAATATGATCCTTTTATCCTTTGTTGTATAGAGTGTTTCATCAGTTTTCAGTTTTTAGATCTTTTTCAGAGGGAAGTGATGCATGTGTGGCTGTAGATTTGGTGTGTCTGTGGGAGGAGGTGAATTTAGGATCTTCCTATACTGCCATCTTGTATCCTGCCTTTCTTAAATATTGTCATTATTTGAAAACTATTGACCCAGAGGATTATACTGTCTGTGGAAGGTAGGATTCATATAATAATTGTTATATGAATGCTTAAGTGGCCAGTGAAATAGTTTATGAGAATTATTTAAAATATTTGTGATCTTATTTTGCAAGAGTTAGCTGAGTATGTGTGTTTGGAATCAATAATTATCGTGTATAATAGAGGGAAAAAGCGGTGGTTGTATCCAATTATCCCAAATGGAAGAACTGAAAATTATAGTTTAAACTGGATTATTTATGTATTTGTTTGTTTTTGCTGGCCCTGCCATTTATCTACTCTTCATAAATGAATTGGGTAAGACTCCTAGTGTCTGTAACAATACACTGCTATAGCTAATTTGGAGACCACAGATAGCTCACTAGTAAAATAATTCATATAGTTCCTAATCCTTATCTCTTCTGCCCCAAAATTCAGATTGTCCAAAATCTCTGGATAAATACATTTCTTCTTAAATAGTAAATTACTTGCTTATGAGCCCAGAATCCTAAGCAGATTTATTTAGTTTTCTAGTTTCTTAACTTTCTCAATAAACCACTCTTCTAAAGTCTATTAAAATGCAAGTTCTAAGACAGGTTTAAAAAATGGAAACTCAAAGGATTCTATGAAAAAATTTTTTTCTGGAAATAATTCTCATTTGCTTTTTATCAGTAGTATTTCTTTTCACTAATGAATCCATTATGTTTCATATCTTTGAGTTGATATAACGAAAACTCAGTTGTCTCAGATAAGACTTACATTAGTTGAACAGTGATTCAGTATATTCGGACACTGGTTTCTTTACGAATCAATAAAAAGCTTACCAAGAAGTAACTGTAAATTTAAATAAAATAAAATTTAAAAATAAGTAACTGTATACATCTAATATCCATCTCCTTATCTTGGATATTTATGTGTTGAAACAAAAACTGTAAAGTTCTTGTTTGATGTTCCTTCTTAAGCATTTATGACACATTTCTCTATTTACCACCTCTAAAACCTCATGCATTTCCACTTTTCCCTGCTTCATCCATACCTCCAAAAACAGTTCCCTTCAAAGAACGTCCCGAGAGGAACAGCCAGCCACTGATGTTGAGTTGGACACCTGCCAAGAGCCCAACAATCACACAGACCCCGTGGCTCTCATTGCAGGAGGCCAGGGCAGCTTCCTGTTGTAAAGCAATGCAAGACAATGCAAGGGTTAAAAGATGTCCTTAAGAGTTGGACCTAATCTCAGATTAGCTGCTAAATGGTCTGTGATCTTTTCTGATGCTCCCTGACCTCATTTGAAATAACATTTATCTTTACAAGGATTAGCTGAAACATAAACAAGACATTGCATGCTGCCTAGTATAATACCTGGCACTTTAGGACTCAATAAATGGAAATTAAAAAATGAAAATACTAAACACAGCCATGGTGGTAATAACAACAACAACAATAGTAATAATTTTTATGAGAGCCATTACTGACATGGGTGGTTTGTTAGAATTGACTTTTCCTTTTAGACATCGAGGAGTACAGCTTTATAGTTGTATCACATCTTGTATTAACAGTGATAAACTGACATGTTCCCATTAGTTATTTTCAAAGGCTATTTCTCAGAGCAAGACTGTCTGTGGGAAAGATTGCAAGAAAGGTTTGGTTATACCTTTTTACACACGAGGGAGTTCATGTTGTAGTGAGGAATGAAAACATTTTGTAAGCTGAGGAAAGCACTCAGGTTAAAAGAGACAGTTATTGGGTTTTCATATAGCTAACTAGAGATAGAGCCATGCAATCCAAGAGTACATTATTTCTACAAATCCCCAAAGAAAGTAAGTCTCAGATTGTGAAATAACTCCCTCTCCATTTATATTCTCTTATATAACCATGTTCAGCTGGAAAAACAACTACTGCTTGCTTCATCTTTGAAGTTAATCCATCCAATCAAACTGGTTAATATTTTCTTTGGAAGCTTACTCAGGTCTACTGTGAAAGACTGCTCAAAGTGTAAAGCTCATTCTTTTATACGGTTGTTAATCCAATACCATCCTTATCTTGCTTAAATCTTCTGGCTTGGAATTTATAGTTACCAGGTTGTTGCTTATGAAATAATTCAGTGAGAATTCTTTACAAAGCTTTTCTGTACAGTCTGTTGGAGGTTGTCTTCTTATTTGAAGGAATGGCATGATGGAACAGAGGGAGAAGAAATCTCAGTATGGGAGTTCAGTGTTTGGAATGGTGAATAGATTTGTAGGAGTGGACAGAGGATACCAGCTGGGATGTCATGGGGCGCAAGGAAGATTAAATAATTTAGAGGAAAAGTGGGGGGAATTTTAGAATTTTCATCCAATTAAAATCTAAACTTATGACTGACAGAAGCATTGGTTATTTTCCCTCCGGAAAAATCACATACCACAGTTTCTGGATTTCCGATGACCTCGAAGCAAAATTCCACACCAGCACCTGTCATATCAAATAAAACTTCTTGGATGGGTTTCTTGAAGTCCTGTGGGTTGATGCACTCAGTGGCACCGACTTCTTTTGCCTTCTCAAATTTGTCTTTGTTGATGTCCACCCCAATGATCCTGGCTGCTCCCGCTGCTTTACAGCCTATGATCACAGACAGGCCGACCCCTCCAAGGCCAAACACCGCACAGGTGGAGCCTGGGGTCACCTGAGCACACGAAGGCAGAAAACAAAAGCAAAGGGAAACATGTGCCTTTACTCAGTTGGAAAGACCCAAGTCTGTATATACCTTTTATGAGGTATAAGCAAAGGACATTTTCAGATAAAACTCATTGTAACTAGAGAGTTTTGGTTTCTGAGGGTATTTCTAGATGTGGAATACTTTTTGCTAGAGGAGCAAAAAACTACCTGTAAATACAGTTTTAAGTTCTGGGAATTAGCATTAGGTAGAAGCAGTTTAATGAAATTTCATCAAATCTTAAGACTTATTACCATAGTACTTATTTGATTCCAGTTATTTTTGAGTTTTTAAAAACCACCCTCATCTTCCTGCAGCCCTTACTTTCTCTTTTCCTTTGGAAAGCTTTGCATCACTTACAAGGTCAATCCCGTATGAAGGCAAAGGCTTATTTTTGGGGGGGGGTTCAAAATGAGACTAATTCAAATTGAGCCCCTTCTGTCCTATTTCTCTATATAGGGTTCGGATTAACGGACTTTGGGGGAAAACAAAGTACTGCAATTCAACAGATTTTTAAAGAAGGTAGCTGGAGGATGCCTCGGAAACAATAGTTTAACAGTAACTCACTCACTCAGAGTGGGATTACCTGACCAATTTGTCTTATATAGCAACATCTCCTCCCATCACCTGGTCTTTTTACTATCGTTTTATTTTTATGAGCACTTGATTACCACCTGATACATTATACAACAGAATAGCAGCTCGATGAGTTTTGTTAGCTGCTGAGTGTCAGCCCCTGGAGCAGTGAATGGCTCCATAAATGTTTGTTGAATAAAAAAAAGAGAATGAACTGGCATGTGGAAGAACACAGTAATTTTGCCAACTGTGTTATGTTTAACATCCAGGAATTCCTGATACCTCCAGTTGTGACTGGCATCCAGACTTGATTTGCTACTTACTACTGACCAAAAAGGAATGGGAAAGATATTGAAGGGGGGCATGGGATGACTAGACAGTAAAGAGCTCAGGGTTGTTTAGAGGCAGGTTTGTGATTCTTCCTCAGGTTGTATGATCAGACATGCCCAGATGCATGAGGCTTTTCATCTCCATCGACCAAGATTTCCATTCATACTGGGTATTAAATGCTCCTCACCTTGGCAGTATTGATTGCAGCACCATACCCAGTGGAAAAACCACAGCTAACTAGGCATACTTTCTCCAGAGGTGCAACTGCATCAATCTTGGCAACCGAGATTTCTTTTATCACTGTGTATTCAGAGAAGGTGCTTGTATTTGCAAAGTGATACACTGGTTTTCCCTTGCAGGTAAACCTACTGGTACCATCAGACATCAGGTTGGAGTTCGCCTCCTGTCTGTTATAGACAAAAAACCCCAAAATTTTTATTTTGAATTAGAAAACTTAGATTCCTTCTAAGGAAATTGAATTTTTCAAAAAGAAAATATTAGTAAAACCTTACTTGATTTGTATACAAAGATTGTCCCCAGGATTAAGACAAGAGGCACATTCTCCACACTGCGGTAGAAAGAGTGTGATCACTTTATCTCCTAAAGAGCAAAAGCGTTTATTAGGTTATTATTTTTCAAAGTAAAGAGATAGCTGGCTTTCAGGACTTCAACAAGACACCCAAGAAAATATGATAACTGAGAATTATTTCCACATTTAATGGTGCTTGATTTTGTGGAAAGTATCAAATACTTATGAAAAGAGGGGGTGTCTTCAGCATCTGTGTCTAGCCCTGGGCTCAGCAACTGAATCTCAAGGAGCTTGCCTTCCTGTAAATTCCTCTTGAAGCCAAATGATTTTGTTATATAGCCATTGAGCCAAGTCTCATTCTATGTTTTCTACACAACTTCTGCTGTGAGGGATTGGATGTAAAATAGTATGGATACCACATGCTAGTAGAATAAGCTTCTTTATCAGGGAGCAAAGAGTGTCTATTTGCTCTCCATTTTATATCAATCCTTTCTTCTTGGCAATGAGACCAAAGGCAGGCAGGTTTCTCTAGTAATGTGCAAAGTATAAGAAAAAGATTAGAATAACTTGCTTGTGATGGACTTACTCACTGACCCATTGTCTATTATTGTAGAGAAATTTGTTTCATATATATTTTTTAAAGATTTTATTTATTCTCTCTCAGAGTGAGAGAGAGAACCTGCATAAGCTGGGGTAGGGGGGTGGCAGGCAAAGGGAGAGAGAGAAGCAGACTCCCCGCTGAGCAGAGAGCCCCGATGTGGGGCTCAATCCCAGGATCCTGAGATCATGACCTGAGCCGAAGGCAGACGCTTGACCGATGAGCCACCCAGGCGCCCCTGTTTCATGTTTTTAGTTAAAAACCCTTATAGGATTTGGGCTTTTTAAATTTACTTTTAGTTTTTAAAAAGTACACATACATATGGTAAAACATTTAAACTTACACAAAAGTGTAGTTTATATTCTTATCAGTGGTATCTTTCAGAGATATAACCCATTTCAAAATATAAAGGCTAACATACTGTTTACTTTCTTTGTAGGTCTTACTTCTTTACTTAACAATAGATCTTGGAGATTTCTCATTTTAGTGATTTTTGTTTAATATTTTTGTTTAATAGTTGCCCCCGCCCGGCAGTCATGAAAAATAACAATGGAATGAATTTTTTGTGCACACGTGAGCTATGGTAGGTAGAATTTTAAAAATGTCCCCCCCCCAAGATGTCCCATTCTAATCCCCAGAAACTGAATGTGTTACCATGCCAGTGAATATGTTACAGGGAAAAGGGGGATTTGCAGATGTAATTAAGTTTATTGAGCATTTGACATGAAAGTAGGGAGATTATTCTGGATTATTTAGGTAGAACAAAGTAATCACATAGGCCCTTGAAAGGAGACAAGAGGAGAAAGCACAAGAAGACAAAGTGATTGCAAGCACGAGAAGGATTTGATATGCCAGTGCTGCCTTGAGACTGAAAGTGGGCGAAAGGGCCACATGAGAAGGAATGTGAGCAGCTTCAAGCAGCTGATGGCGGCCCTAACTGACAGCTGGTCAGCTGAGGTTAAGGACCTCAGTTGTACAACCTCAAGGAATTGGATACTGACAACAACTTGAATGAGCTTGGAAGTGGATTTTTCTCCAGAATCTCCAGATTCTCATCTGATCATCACCCACCTGATCAACACCTTGATTTCAGCCTTGTGAAACCCTAAGCAGAGAACTCCGTCAACCACACCCAGACTTTGGACCCACAGAAACTGTGAGATAATAAAGTTGTTTTGCTTTAAGCTGCTACATTTGTGGTGATTTTTTTTTTTATATCAGCAATAGAAAGCTAATACATGAGTATAGATCTATGGAATAACTTTCTAGAATTGGGAGTATTGGATCTAAAATATATGCATTTAAATGATGTTATATATTGCCAAATTCAGAGTTGTACAACTTTACTTTCCATATAATAAGGTTTGAGGTAGCTATTTGCCTCCGCTCTGTCAGCCCTATATATTATCAAACTTTTAAATCTTTGCTTTTCTGTTAAACAGTGTTTTCCCATTGTATTTTATTTTTAAACATTTTTTATTTAAATTCAATTAATTAACATGTATTATTGGTTTCAGAGGTACAGGCCTGTGATTCATCAGTCTTATATAATACCCAGGGGCCATTGTATTTTAAAATTTTATTTGGTATGTTTGAGGTTAGGCATCTTTTCACGTGTATATATTTTCTCCAAAGGAAATGTATATTTCCTTTGACCATTTTTCTACTGGGCTGTTTTTATTAAATTGCTTTCAAAGAATTCTTTATATATTAGGGGAGTTTACCCATTGTCATATTTGTTGTTGATTTTGGGGGGTATTTTTTATAAACAAAATTATAAAAACTTTTTATGGTGTTAATCTGTGTATTATTTCATATCTTCCGGATTTTTGTGTTGATTAAAATTTCCTTCCTTTCCCTGAGGTAATACAATGTTTTCTCACGGTATTTTTTTCTTTTTTTTTTAAAGACTCCATTTATTTATTTGAGAGAGAGAGCACAGAGGGAGAGGGAGAGGAAGGAGAAGCAGGCTCCCCGCTGAGCAGAGAACCCGACTGGGGGTGGGGTGGGGGTGTGGGGGGTGGGGGTGGAGGGCAGGGCTCCATCCCAGGACCCTGAGATCGTGACCTGAGCTGAAGGCAGATACTTCACCAACTGAGCCACCTAGGCACCCCTCTCTCATGGTATTTTATAGCATTTCTGTGGTTTCATTTTTCACATTTAATTCTTGGATTCATATGGCATATTTCCTTGGCATAAAAAATGTAATAGCAACTCAACTTTTTCCCCAGATGACTATCCAGTTGTTTCAGCATCATTTACTGAGTAATCCACATTCTCCCCCTCAAATCTGAAAGCCAAACCAAACCCTGTGTTAAATTTCTCTATATATTTGATCTAGTTCTGGACTCCTTCCCTATTTGGTTCCACTAGTGTGTTCAGCTGTTTATTATATGCTTCATTTTAATAATTTTCAACAGTTTTCCTCAGTTTCCTTTTTTATAAATTTTTGCCTCATTTGTACTTTCAGGTTCAGTTTTAGTGCATTCTATTTCTTGTTTTTATTAATATCAAAATAGGAATGCAAAGATACATTTAGTATTTTTGTGTAACTTATAAATAACTATCCCTCCTTTCCTAATAAATGGGCAACTTTTCACCTTTTGTTTCATTTGATCTTAACATTTAAAAGATGCTTTTTTTT